CCTTCAAGGGGGATGGTTTTTTTTTAAAAGGAGGGGGGGGAATTTTTCAAAGAAAAATTTCCCTTTTTTTAAAAAAAAAAAAAAAAAAAAAAAAAAAAACATAGGTTGTGGGCTTCTTTCTACCAGCTGACTTGCAGTTTGTTTCAATATGTAAGGGAAGGACGATGCAGTTTCACTTCATGCTCCGTGCCACTAAAGAGAACACCAATCCCATTCACTGTCTCTGACATCTTTTAGCATTTTTGTAGAGTGTGAGATAAATATTTGATAGAAAATTTCAATCATTTTGAAGCGGTACATTTTCAAAACCAATGTTATTCCTTTTTGTCGGCAACTAGTCCACGCTTACAGCTTTGAAAAACTGTAACAGATGGGAGGGCCACATGAATGAATGGAGAGTGCTCAAATGTAGAAAACCTCATTTAGGCCAGCTGTTGGGTGGAGGACCACATAATTAAAAGTGATCAAACTAATTATGGACAATAAAATTGAATACTAAAGTTTTCAAATGTCTTCCTGAATAATCCAACTTTCCAGCCCGGATCTCTTTACGTTTCCCTTGACCGACAGCGTCACTCATTCGTCAGTCTATTTGGTAACAGTTATTCAGTCTCTCATTTCCTCGCAGTTGTTCAGAGTTTAAGGTGCGTTTTTTAATCGCAATGTACACAATGTGTGTGCTGTCACCTGTTTCTAAATGTGGGCAATAAATTATCTTTGATGAAGTTTGTACCGGTGGACAGCCTGTTCATTTTTGTTTTCTAATTGTTCCACATCTGTGTATTTAGCTGCAGAATTGAGTATGTGGACTGTCTCAGCAGAAAAAAAAAAAAAAAAAAAAAAAAACCTGGCTCAGTTATTTCTACCAACGTTAAAATGCTTTTGGTGGCGGCAGCCTGATGGTGTGGGACAGCATCTCTCTCCCTGGCGAAACGGGGCTTGTCATTAGCGAAGGCACTCCAAACGTGGAGAGATGTAAAGACGTAATTCTGCTACAAGTGGCCAATCATATATATTTCCTCTCTTGGGGATCAAACTCCAAGATGGTCAGAAGCAGGAAGCCTCTTTCACAGAACATTTCCATCATAAACCCATAAGGATGAGCCACCTCTCAGATTCCTTTTACTGTTCACAGATTACAAGTTGAGACAGCAATATCCAGCACAGCTGTTAGCCAGGAGGTGTTGTGCTGCACTGCTGTCAGCACCATGCATGAAATCTGTTGAAGTCTAACTACGCTGTTTTATCCTCGACAATAATTCCGAATGGAGTATTTTGCCTGAGCAAATAGTTTAAATTTAAGTTTGCCTGCGATGGTTTCTGATCAGATATTCGGAATGGAGAAGATGGAACGGCCTTCCTGCAGCCATCTGCTCAAGCTGAATGAAAGCTTGTGGGATCAGCTTGGGCATACTGTGCAGGCCAGAATTACTAACACAACCACATTGACTTACTTATGACAAATGCTGTTTGAGGAATGGGGATGCCATCCTATGCTATAGAGAGTCCAAACTGGTGACCTGCACGAGGAGGTACCAGCTTTCTGTGGCTGTGCAGGGTTCTCTCTCATACTACTGAGGTCCTTGTTAGTTATGTAGGTAAACTGTTAAATTGCCAATGTGGCTTGTAATGAACAACCTGAAACAATAGAACAATCAGCTCTTCGGCATCAGCTGAGACGATTTGTTTTGGTTGCACAAGCCACAAACTTAACTTTGCTGACTAAACTGAAAATCTGTTTTTCAGTGACACCATTTAAAAAGAAAGTAAGTATGCTGTTGAATGATTGGAGACTTATTGCCTGAAAGCATTCCGACAGCAAACTCAAACTCAAATTTTCTTGCTGTTTGTGCTGCCTTCTGAGTACAACATGTCTTTAAGATATTTTGTTTTTTAATAGCTGTTGGTACTTATCCTTCAGCTTTCCTCTGTGAAAAGAAATTATGAAGGAAAGTATTCCCAATGTTGGAGAAAAAATGCAATGATAAGGTTTTGATAAAAGGAGTGGCAAATGACATTTAGCACTGAAGGCCAGTTTTTGAATTTCTCAAAAGGAACTATTTGCTGCAATGCTTTTGAATGACTTGAATTTAATAGAAATGTTCAATATGGCTAAATTGAAATTCCCCAGTTTTCAAAATCGGAGATCTGGAACCAGATTACTCTTCCAAGTTGACTGGACCGCTTTTACATGAAATTGATGTATTCATAGTCCATAATACTCTTTTTTTTTTTTTTAACAAGAGATAGTATGTACTATATATGAAACCCTACAGAAATACCCTGGTGGTGTTTTCCTTAAACGACAACAAATGGTATTCACAATTACATATTGGAAACACAATAAATTTCAAAAGAGTGAATAAATGAAACAAGTTTTAACAGTTCAGATACATCTTTGGGTGATATGTCTGATATGTTCATTGAGGCCTAAGCGAGTGTATAAAGTCCAAAAACAAATAAGTTTAAACTAGTTATCAATTTGCACTCTTGTAATAATATCTGCAATTACTATGTCAGGGTCACCTTCGTCATAAATGGCAGATTCACATCTTTTAAACACTTTACTGATTGTGTTTTTTTTTTGTTTTTTTCAGATTAGCTTCCAGTAACCACTGAAATGCTTCCACCACATGAATAAGATTAATGATTTAACTGTACGTTTCAAATGTCTCAGCTGTCACCAGGTTCTGAGGAGGACGAACACGAGGGTCCAGTGCTTGAGAAACTGGGTCGCATCCAGTTCAGTGTTGGATATAGCTTTCAGGACTCGACTCTCACTGTCAAAATTCTCAAAGGCCAGGATTTGCCTGCTAAGGATTTTTCAGGCACATCTGACCCTTTTGTGAAAATCTACCTGCTCCCAGACAAGAAGCACAAATTGGAGACTAAAGTCAAGAGGAAGAATCTAAACCCTCACTGGAATGAGACGTTTTTATTTGAAGGTATTATAAGAAGTCTTATTTCGCAGAGCCGCCACATGTTGCTCATGTCTCTGCGTTATGTGAACGGTTGCTCCTTGTCATTCTGTTTCTCAGGCTTCCCCTATGAAAAGGTGGTTCAGAGGACTCTCTACCTGCAGGTTCTTGACTACGACCGATTCAGCAGGAACGACCCCATCGGGGAGGTGTCCATCCCCCTCAACAAGCTGGACCTGGCCAACATGCAGACTTTCTGGAAGGAGCTGAAACCGTGCAGCGATGGCAGTGTAAGTCGAGGGGCAGAGCTCAGAGAGGAAGAAAGAAAAGAGGGAGGTAAAGAAGAGGAAGAAGAAGTAGGAGAAAGGGACGGAGGAAGAAGATGGGGTAGAATGTGTGATGTCATTTCTGGCTGCTGTGATGCTCCCGGGGGAGATGTGGCAGCATAACGACGGGAGAGGGGAGGGAGGAAAATATGGAGAGGCTGACAGGTAGACGGAGACTACACAGACAGCCTGAAACGGGAACAGGGCTGCACAGCAGGAAGAGAGGGGAGAGAAATGAAAAAAAAAAACTAAACCAAAAAAAAGAAGGATAAAAAGTAAACAATTTCACGCTGTTGTTGTCCTGTATGATGTTCTATTTTTTACAGGGAAGTCGAGGGGATCTCCTAGTGTCCCTGTGCTATAATCCCACAGCCAACACCATCACTGTGAGCATCATCAAAGCACGCAACCTCAAAGCCATGGACATTGGAGGCACTTCTGGTATCAATGCTTCTTTGTCTGTTATTCTCATTTATGCATGCACTTCTTCAGAGTCACTGCTTCCAAATGGAAATTGCATTTTTGTTGTTGTTGTTGTTGTTCTGTTTGGAAAAAGAAACAAAATATGATACACTGGAAACCTCGGGCCGCCGTTGTAAACGTGGCGTGTTTTCTGTTTCTTAGACCCATACGTAAAAGTGTGGTTGATGCACAAAGACAAACGTGTGGAGAAGAAGAAGACGGTGGTAATGAAACGCTGCCTGAACCCTGTTTTTAACGAGTCCTTTCCCTTTGACGTGCCGGCCCACGTGTTGAGGGAGACCACCATAATTATCACCGTCATGGACAAGGACAGACTCAGTCGCAATGATGTCATTGGAAAGGTATCTCCTTCCTCTCTCTTTCACGCCTCTTCCTGCCTCTTCTTCTTTCCCTCTGTGTTTCTCTGACTCTGACAGACCATTAGCATCTGATGAATTAACCAGTCTCTACTGACCCCTACTGGAACGAGCGCATCTCCTTCTCTTTATGTCATTTGGAAACATGAGGAAAACTCTAAGTTAGAAACATATACTCTATTTAAATGTGCGGACAGTTGCTGTAATAAACATTTAGGCATTTCTATGCTAATAGAATAAATATGAAAAGAAGCGCTTACAGGAAAGCATTGAAGTGCAGTGATTTTGATGTTATTCCTTTATTTTCAATAAAAGCAATAAAGTGACAAAAGATGAATGTTGATATTGATTTTCTGCTCATGAAGTAACTTTATTTGGCTGTCGTTGGTGGTTTCAATAATACTTCCAGGCAAGACAAACCCTGTGACACAGATTAGATTTGTATTTGAGCTGAACACAAATGTTTTGAAACAACCTACAGCTTCTCTATATATTGAACCACAGTTGTCATCGCAATGTCACTTTGTGCAAAATCACAAAGTATATCAGTCCAATGGAAAAAGTACAATGGACCGATAAGTCCAATATTTATTAAGAACTTTTATTTCAGGTTTCAGGCATTTACCCGATGCATATACATGATATGTTTGGTTAGATTAACGGATCCTAATGATCTTTAATGCTCACACCTTGTGAGCTGAGGTGCCAAAACCCTTACAAACAGGTGTGTATTTTGTGTTATGGCCAACTGTCAGGAAAGTATAATCGATAACAATCAATGTCCTCATTGCATCTACATATGTGTATGGGTGCAATCTGCGCGTTGTGGTGAATTTTTGACAGCATTTTACTTATTTATTTTTGAACACCCAAACCTTAACTAAAACTTAAAATGGCTCATGCACTGTGCATGACTGGCGTACATATTTGGTTTAAAAGCAAACACCCACGTTTCACTACTAATGCTAAAGAAATGTTTAACTCTGAAATAAAAGGAATTTATGCAACATGTTGGAAATACACCAAACACAAACTCTACTCCCTCACACAAAGACAGAATAAACTCTGTCTGCACAGCTTGGATGAGTGGTACCAATTATACCAATTGTCACTGCAGGTGGTGTACGTCCTAACTAATCTTAACGACATTCATTATCTTCAAACATCCAGCAATTATAGTACTTTCCCTACTTTAGTACTCGCTAACAAGTTCTTAATAGAAGAGTGAAAATTTAGAGAAAATGTATTCTCGTTAAGTCTTATCCAAAGATCCATCATGACAATTGTAGCTTTATAGATTTGCAGGAGTTGCAGTAGGGCTTCCCCACGCCTCCCATGGAGGTTTTTTTATTTTAAACGGTCTTAACCAAATGTCCAACTGGTTTTGAGATTGCTCTTTACTACTAACACCAATTTTTGTGTGATAATAAAGTAGGTATTAATTCTTTTTGTCTCCCAGATTTATCTTTCATGGAAGAGTGGCCCCGCAGAGGTAAAACACTGGAAAGACATGATAAGTCATCCTCGTAACACCGTGGCCCAGTGGCACTCTCTCAAAGCCTGAGGGGCCCAGCAGCCAAACAGCCTAAAGTGTTACCAGACAAACACCAAGACCCCTACCCCTCTCCCCAGCCTCCTCCTCTGAGAAGTCAACATGAGTCTCTCAGCACACATCCCTTTTCCCCTAAACGCAGTGTTGGGCTCTGGACCATGTATCACCTCTTTGTTCTCAGGCCTCTTTGATATTCCTCGCCCTCAGTCCTTGTGAATCAGCCCTAAAATTGCACCCTCTTGTCAAGTTCTGATTGCCACCTGACTCCTTCACATCAGTTCGTCTGAACTTAAAAATGTCTTTGATGTCTTAGCTCCCTTGTGCCCTCTTTCTATACCATTTATTTCCCCGAGATCTCCCAATCTTTTCTTCCATCCTATCGGCCAGTCCTAGAGCCTAACATCAGAGCAGTGGCTCTTGCTGCCCATGGATACAAACTACCAACCAAAAATGAATCAAACTGATAGTCAAATCATCCTCTGGGGCAGCAAGAGGGACTGCGTTTGAACGGGTGTGACCTGTGGGATCCACGCACCACCTCCCGTCAAATGTCTTCACTCCTTCCATTTTCGTCTCTGATCCTCCATATCCTCAAAATGCCTAAAAAAAAAATAATAAAAAAAAAAAATCAGGAATCCAGGCACAGAAGAAGTGACGGAGTGAATTTCAAACGGACTGGAAGTGGACTCTGTCGTTTAGGTTTTCTTTGATCATTTTCCCTCCTCACTGCCACCACTGTAATTCTCCCCTGGCTGAAACCCTTTTGTCGTCTGTGCGTGATGTGGGTGACGTGCCGTAGTCTGAAATAATGTTCTTCAATTTAAAAAGGGGGTATGAACATGAACATTTAACACTGGTTAGAAAAGGTGAGGGTGGAAAATATTTTTCTCTTAGAAAAGAAATCCCTCTGGACCAAATTTAGGAGCAAAGTGATTATTTTAATTTTTCTTTCTTTTTTGGGGGGGATGGAGGGATAGAGGTTTAACAACTGTTCTTCCAGACACATAAAATAATCAAAAAGTCTCTTCCAACTGTGCGGTAGTGTGGATAAATGTGTGTATGTGTGAGGGGGGTATTTTAGACCTGCACTGCTAAATTAAAGCTGTTGATGTACACAAATCGCTCCTCATCGTGGAGGTAGAATTAGTAGAAATTATCACCTAATTGACGATTGCTAAATTCTCTGGAAGGAAACCCAAATTATGAACACACATACAGAAGTCAAGTTTATTTGTCATTTCCAACCGGTAGCTTAAAACAAACTCGCAGCACCCGTCAACCTGGTAAAGATGTGTAAAAAGCCTTGAAGTGAATTAATATTTGGAGTGGCACATTGTATAGGGGTAGAGTGTACGGCTCATTTTTCGGACTCTAGCTATCCGGGATTCAATTCCTGACCTTGGCATCCTGAAGCCCACTGGTGCCACAAACCAGAAGTAAAGTGATGTTTTATTAAAGTACCAAAATTTTCTTACGTTTTTATTTATTTATTTATTTATTTATTTATTTATTTATTTATTTATTTATTTATTTATTTATTTAATCTCCCTTAACCATCCTGCAAACCATGAGTGGTAATAGAATAAATTTTGACCATTGTCCAGCCATGTTTGTCACAGTTCCAATTAGTTGAAAGTTGGTTTAAACATTTCAATAATTGCTATTACTTATCTGTATGAGCAAATATAGGTGAGTAACTATTTCCCTGTAACCATTTTCTGTCTGTTAGAAATCACAAATAAGCCTGAGCATATTTCCCTCAGTTTACTCTGTTGGAAAGTGACTGAAAGAGTCACGACGGTACAATTGTATTTTTTATTTTATTTTATGTTTCTTCTACAATTGTACTTTTTCCTCCTACTGAATTCTGTCACTGCAATAAAAAATTAATTTATTTGAAGGCCGTTTATGCATCTTTGGTAGGGTTTCAGTTAATGGTAAAATCCTTTATGTGCCTGATATGATCTGTTGAAAAATATTATTGCAATGGTCTAAATCACTTCAGTATCACATCATAATAATCTTAGAGATGTCTTAGTAAAGAGTGCAAAACCTAAAACGTATGGGGATTTTTTTTTGCTCGTCAGTGGATCCTTTGGGTATAACGCTGAAACAAATAATGGCAGAAATCAAATATTTTTTTTAACAAGGTATTTTTTTAAGTGGTGAATTTAAACATAAATAAATAAATAAAAGAGCCTTAGTGTGATAAAATGTGTTTATTTATGTACATTGCATTTAATTACAAAAGCACTGCCAGTGTAAAGCAACAAATACACAAAGGGATGACAAAAGTAATATTCTAAATTGTAATGGCAACAGAAGAAGCAAAAAGGTCATAAAATAATCATGCAAGAAAGTTAGTTCATAATCTCAGGAAAGCTGATGCTAAAATAAAAAAATATATATACACAAAAGGAATTACTGAATCAACCCAATGGAATAAAAATTTGTTCCTGACAGAGAAAATTGACTCAATGTCCTTTTTTTTTTTGTTCCTTACAGCTGATGTTGAACTGACGTTCTCCACTTTAACATAAGATCTTTGAGATCTGCAGAGATGCAGTCAAAAGAATCAAAGTAAATCTGTACATTTACCCTTTACTTGACTTGTTTTGTAAATTTATCTGAACTGAAAGAAAAGTAACAAGAAGAAAATGACCAGAGAGAGTAAATTGTGACGTAATTACACATTCCAGTAAATTAAAACCACACTGTGCTTGTCGAGCACTGAGAACTGCAGTGCCTAGACTTAGTTAGAGCTGATTTTATGTTGGGGTCTGATTGAAGTACAGGTCAGCTTCCTGAGTGTTTGTTTTACTGCCTGAGAATGACCTCCATCGCATCCCACTTAGACACGTATCGATCACATGAATGAAAACAAATGAGACTAATAAAATCTGAGGGGAGTACTTTTACATTCCACAGTTTGTGTTTGTCTTCTGGAGGTGTGTATGTGCGTCTGCACTTTGTGCGCGTGTTGATATTTGGACTTTTTACTCTCTGTGTGCGTCTACGACGAGCTAGAGCTTGCCATTTTGATGCTGATCGGCATTGTTTACCGTTTTTTAATCCTGTATAGATTCAGATGTACAAAGACGAGTGTTGTTGTTTTGGTTTTCTTAAAGATTGTCAGTTTTTTGTAAGCATCACTGCACTTGTTAACGACAATGCTGGAGCAAACCTCTCTTCACAGCAGGGTTATTTCATTGTGTCTGGTTTGGCTTGAGGGTTAAAACTCTTTTAAAAAAAAAAGCCTAAAGTCTTGAGATTAAACGTCTTTAACCTGACTATCATGACCCAGAGTTTTTGTTTAGACCAAAGCAGCTTCCAGCATTCTGCCCCGGATGTCCAGTGCCCTTACTATCTGATTCTGCTTCACGCAAATGGCGTCTCCTTAACATCTCAGCTGGCGCTCCACCAAAATGCCCCCATTGTGCACACATGCTTCCTGGCACAAAGCGTGCTGTGTGTGCCTTGTAAACTCTGCCACACCCTGCTCTTCACCATATGCGCTCGCACTCAGTTTGTCAGGAAGGGCGGGCGGGGCGGGGAGAGGTTAAAAAGGGGTGAGATGGGAGATGATCAGAATCATCTTTGATGTTAACTAAGTCTCAGGCCATAGCAGAGTGTTGAGCCTCCTGAAATAAGCAGCAATAAAAGCTGCCCTTGAAGTTCTTGTGTGTTGAGCAGGAGATTATTTTTAAATACTGATGAAAAATCATTCAGATTCAAAGGTTATGAGGATGTCACTTTAGTCGATGCTGTTTAAATATCGGGTGAAGACGTGGTGGAAACCAGATATTTACATACATTGCACAAAAAAAGACATAACTTTTTTCTTCTCGCTGTGTTTTAGGTCAATTAGGATTATCAAAAAAGTTCCATTTACTAAATATAAAAATGGTGAATGATGTTTTTTTTGTTGTTGTTGTTGTTTGTTTTACTTTCTTTAGCTTCAGAAGTTTCTATCCATTTTTGTAGCATTACTAACATTGTGTGGTGTTGCTATAATATGTTCACATATTGTTCTTTCTTCATTATGTTAAATAATTTATTTAATGCACCAGTCCCTTCACCCTCAAACACTACTCAAGAGTTGTGAACATGTTTTCCAATAAATGCAACATTGATCATCATGCCAAAACACTTTTTTTTATTTTCATCAGACCACAACACATCTCCCCAAAAAGTAATGTCTTTGTCCCTGAGTGCATTTGTAGGCTTTTTCCTGTACTTTTATGTTCTTTTTGGATTAATGGATTCGTTCTCTTTAATTGGCCTTCTAGTGCGTGCAAGATGGATAGTGATGCTCTTTTAGCAGCTTCAAGCAGCATCTTCATAATGTCCTTTGGTTTTGTCGTGGGTTGGTTTGAAGATTATGCTCCAAAAGAAATATCCAACTCTTTGGAAGATAGAACCCATGTTTTGGGTTAAGTGACGGCTGGACATTCCCATTGTGTTTATTATACTTATTCATCATTTTTTGAATGGTTGAATTTGGCAACTCCGGGTATCTAGAATTTTACCAAACAATGAGCAAGACTTAAGGAAGTCCACATTTCTATTCCAGATATTTTGCATTATTTCTTTTGATTTTTCCTTGAAACCAGTGTATTTCACAAGCTGCTTTAAAACACAACCACAGATTTGCCTCCATATGATCAAAATAAATTAACTTATTAGAGTTGTTAATTTAACTGGTGGGTGCTGGCTTACTGTAAGGCTGTCTTTAATTGTTTTGATGTTACAGAGTCTAGATGTAAAATTTACCAGTTTACCGTGTTTAGCCATAATATTGTCTTCTGAAGTTTTCCAAACTGCTTAAACCCATAGTAGTCTTGGTACATGAACATTTCTAAATTAAAATTAATTCTTAAAAATTCCCAAAAAAGCATCATGCTCATTATTCTGGTATTTAGAAAAGATACATAGTTTTGGTAATCCCCACTGATCTAAAACAACAATAGATTAGTTAATGTCTCTCAGTGAAAAAAGAAATAATTATGTCTTTTTATACCATATATATAAATATCTGGTTCAATAGCAGCAAACCAGGGTTTCATTATGATAATAATTGTTTTTTGTTTTGTTTTGTTTTTTAGAAATCAAGCTAAAATTCTTCTTTCTACACACTCCATGTGGTCAGTCAATCACACCAAAATGTTTACTGGATAATCTCATGTTTCTGTTTTAGGGCATTCAATTAAGGAACTGCTGGAATCAAAGAGAGGTTAACCAGCAACATTTTTATTTACATAATGTACAGATAATTGTGATGTGTCCTGTATGTAAAAAAAAAAAAAAAAAAAAAAAACATTTATTGGGGTTGTTATCTGTCTGTCACTAACTCCTCTCTTTCACTTCCCTTTCTCATTGTAGTTACTCATCTGTGGGGTGCACAATGTTAAATATCAGCCATTTATTTTTTTGAAATCTGTATAGTGTAAATAATAACATAAATGTGTATATAAAACAAATATTCTTCTGGTCTGGTATTGATATACATTTATTTTAAAAGTGCCTTTTAAAAAAAATTGTTCATAGAAGACATTTATTACAAAGATTCACTCGAGTGGTTCTACTATGAAGTCAGATGAAGCTTTAAAGATGGTAAGTTGTGTAAATGTCATGTTAAAAATTGAAGTGAAAATCAAGCCTCAGAAAACAAGCAACAGCATGTTAACACCTTTGCACCCAGCTTTTCCAAAGTGTTTCTTATTCGCTGATTTATACATAAATCCAGTCTACTTCTTGCTTACTGATGCAACACATTATTTAGTCGTACCTGCTTAGTTTCCATGTATCTCTCTTGACTGCATCCAATGTCCTATTCTGTAACAAAAATTCAACTCAACATGCTGAAGATGTCTTCCACACAGATTTAAAATTTGATCACATTTAGCTTTCATTTTTCTCTCCATTAAAAGCTGTGGTGTGTTGTCTCTTCTTTTTTTCTTTTTTTCTTTTGAGCTGTTGCACACATCTAATTAGGAAAACAACATTCTCCAACTCCTACACTTTTGAGTTTCAATACAACTTCAAAGTGAGACATCATCTTGGAGAAAGTGGTGCTTGGTATATTTCCAGGAAGTGTTTAATTTACCATCTCATCTGGTCTGATGCCTCTCGCTATTCAGAGCAATTTTGATCTGTGATCATCAGCGTAGAAAGCTCCAGCAGACTTGCGAGAGCAAGATAAAGGGACGTGGATGCCGTTGGTGGTGAAAAAGGTGAAAGCATGTTGAGTCTGAAATTCCAGGTTGACTGCAGCGACGGGGATAAAACTGAGAGCTGTCACGACACAGGAAGCAGCGGCAGAGGATGACAGGAGCGCTGGGCTACAGATAGGCACAGTGGGTGTGCGTGGGAAACTTGAATAAACACTCTAAACAAGCCTCAGAGCAAGAAAGATGGGAATTGTGCCTCCCCTGCATGTGGGCTTGTAAGGTGGAATCCTTTTCCTCGTCTCTTTTTTCTTTTTTCTTTTTCTTTTACAACCAATGTGGAGGATGTTCAACTATTGTCCTTTAATTTATTAAAAATAGGAATATGCATGGCCCACTTACAAAGTAGGCTTCTCTAAGGGCATTTATATTTTCTCTAGTTTCCTTTTTAATTGTTGTTCAAATTATATTTAGATCTGTTTAATGTTTTTTTATAAGATAAAAAAACAAGGCAGTCATGAGTACAAAGGTTTCAGACGTGTGACCATCTCATGTACAGTGTTTATAAAGTGTTAACACCTCAGTTATAAGACCAAGTTTCTGTGATTAAAAAAATGACACTTTAATAAATAATTTCAAAATGTTTTGCACAAATAATGAATACTTTCCTATGGAACTCAACTATAAAAATGTATGTTACAAGGAAAATGTTCAAAAATACACAAACTAATAACGTAGTTTGCATTGGTTTTTTATCTTATGAGAATCTGCATCTGCTATTTTTCATGTATGTATTGATTTTCTTACATTGTATGTTTGACCTTACTGTTAAATTTCACATTGCTGTTCTTTTTGTGTGTGTTTTCATGTGTGCATAAAATGACAAAAATAAATAAATTCATTCTAAACTTGGTGGCAAAAGTGTCCAAACTCTGAAACTTACACTTTGCTGAAGCACTTTTTGATCTTTTTTTAGCATTCAACTTCTTGACTTGAATATTTTCAAATTTTCTTTGCAAAAGTTCTCCAAATCCAATACAATTTGTTCAATGCTCACATCAGTTTTTATTTATTTAGTTTTGCCCTCTGGATAGGTTACTCAAAACCTACATTTATCTGTCACAGAGTTGCTTTCTTGATGGGAAAGTAAGCTTGGACTCACTCTGATGCACTATAATGAAATCTCTTTTCATCTTCAGCTTTCTTGCAGACACGTGAAGATCTTGGCTGACTGATATCTGGGGCAGTTCATAACTCATCCACCTGGACAAGTAAATCCTGAGTGGGATGCTGCCACCACTACGTTCAAGTGTGGTGTTGGTTCCATAAAGATTTGGGTTGTTTATGTGCAAAACACATTGCGGTTATAACTAAAAAGTTCAAATTTGGTTTCATCAGACCGTAACGCTGAATCACAAGGTGTTAAAACAAAGTATTAAAATCAGTGAGCATTAAAGCAGAAGCCAAAGATTTTGATGATGTTTTGCAACCTATTTTGTATTTAAGACTTTGGATGAGCAAGAGGAAATCCATCCTCCCACCTGTTTCCACTAGTTCTTTAAATTATTCATCCTTTTTTGGTTCTCAAACGTGACAAACCATGCTCTTTAAATATGCAATATGACTAAACAACAATTTGCACAATTTGTGAAGTTTTTGCAGGTGCACAAATTGTTGCTTCGAGATTTTAAGACGTTAGTTTCATATGAAGTACAAATAAAAACATGCGGTAAATCATGTTAACGGTCAAGTCTGAAAGTGTTGCCAAATTTTTTTTACTCGTAACATTAGTTGTGTTCACTCTTGCAGACGACCCCTGAGCAAATAGTTTGCAGCAGATGTAGAATAAAGGAACACATAGAGGGAAAAGAAAAATCATTCACTTCAGATCCTTAAAGTGGCTCAATTTGCTTCAGTATTATGTACTTAGGGTAAACCTACTGGTAAATTTCCAACACTGACTAAGATTAACTGAGAGACAGATGGCTGAAGAGCAAATAAAACACAGAGGGGAACCCTTCTGACATCATCTCAGGTCTATTTTAAGAGAGGCTGAGAGGAAAAAAAAATCCCTGAAAAAAATGAAGGTCATCCTACTCATTGTATGTTGTTTTGCAAAAAGATTGAGCAATAAAATATAAATGAACCAATGACTTGTAACACCTTCACTTAGGATCATGCTCCATTATAATTCTGTGGACGTGCACAAGCCAGCTTGTCATCTGTTTTGAAATTCTGTGCACATCTTGTGGCCAGAGGGCATCTCCCTTCTGCAATCAGTACATGGTTCCAATGAGCCAACATGACACACAGTAGGACAAGAAACATTCTCTGTACTCCACACATACCAATCTGGTGGTGAAGCAGGAAAAACAGGGCAACAGAACAATGCCCTGTGTTGTAGGTTCTGATGAGTAAGAGGTTTAGCTTAACTTGTGGTGCCATTATACATTTTACAAAACAGACCATGAATTTAATAGGGTGACTTTATTTCATTATTTCTATAAAGGAACAGGATGTACTTGTAGATGAAAAAACAAGGTTCTTTGGATTATTCAAATGTAAAATTCCTATGTTTATTATGTAATAATATTTTTATCATGTTTTTTTTTTTTAAATAAGGTACTCAAATATTTATTTTTGGAGATCCATTCTCGCCCAAGATCAGTAGGTGCCTAAATAATATTAATAAAAAAAATCAAGGTAATCTGCTGCCATCTGGTGTCTGGAAATGGCAATGCAGGTGTTACAACCTTCATTATGCAACACGTCCAGTGAGCGTTCTGTCAATCATGGCACCCTCCTGTCATGTGATCCACTCATGCAGTGAAGGAAGCATATCATCATTCACACAACATGAGTAGCAAAACGTTTATTAAATACTTCATAATACAACTAACTGGCAGAGTCAGATCATAATTATGTATATTTTGTATTTTTAATGGGTATCTCATACAAGAAGCAGGTTAAATATACACTTACAAAAAATCATACTTATAATACAGATATTCAGATCCGTTTCATTTTGCTGATGAGGAGAATCCTCCGTCTCATTAACAGATGTTCATCTCGTCTTCAATTGATCTTCTTCTACTGACTATCATCTACAAAGCAGATCAGAGTGTAGCACCCCATTTAATATGAAATTATATGATGAAAACTAATTGAAAGTGACATAATGTATTCCCAGCATCATTTACTACACTTCAGTTTTTCTTTTTTTTTCTTTTTCTCAAGTTTAACTCTGTTTAAATAAGCACTTTCAAAGACCTCACTGGGTTTCTTTTTCCAGGTACTCCAAGCTGGGTGCATCCAATCTCTGTTCGTGGTTTTTGTTTTTTGTGAATTCTTTCAACATTTCCATAACTTCCCCCTGGTACACTTCAGGTGTCGGCTGGGCTTCTGTAAGGACAAATATACAAATAAAAGATGATGACAGCAATAAAAAATATGTAACCCTGCGATAGCAAAGGAGTGCTTGGTTGCAATATTTACAAGGATGTTATATTTTAAGAGACACATATGCAAATTTTACAAGCACATAATATATTTGGCCTCTTGAATACAGTTTCTCTGTGATCTCTGTCCACACAGTGTATATATCTTAGAGCCTGGGATATTACAATGCGCTAAGAGAGGTGGGAGCATTGTGACGAAGAAAAAGAAAGAAAAGATTTAGAAACAGCTGAGTTAATCAAAATCAACATCATCCTCGCTATATTAAGCGGCACTACTGCAATTACATGTTTTCATGAGCAGCACTTCTTTCACTCAGCTGTCTGTCTCCAGATCTTGTCCTACACTGCATACAATGAGACCAGCTTCCATCTCAGAATGAAGTTAAGAGTTTGACCGTACAGTACAGTGTACTTTTTTAATTTGCCCAATGGAGGTGTCGTCTGTCATGACATGTTCTACACTGTTCTTTGAAAAGTCTGTAGGAAATGTGCTCATGTAACTCAAATAATATCTGAAAACAGTGGATTGGTCAGAACTATTTCTGGTATGAATCTCACTCAGTTCCATAAATAAGTTGAGCTAAATTGGGATCAAAAATACAAGTGGTATAACAATAATGTAATTTATAATTCAGAAAATAATAAACAAATATTTATTGAATTAAACGTAATATTTCAACATCTTTACGATTACAATTTCCATAGGCCATAAAGGGAAAAAAAATATTTTCAAATAAAAACAAATAATTTTTTCACCTGTGGCCCAGTAGTAGATGTCCCAGTCGTTGCTCGGTTCATTAATCAATCTGTCATACTGCTGCAACTGGCTGTCTGTCATCGTGTTCAGGTACCGCTTTGCAAAAAGGCTGCAAGAGACACAAGAACACATTTCTTCTCTTACAAATTTAAACAAATAGATACAATTAGACTCTAATTTCTTTACACTGTCAGTCTTAAATGGGAGCTACATAAAACCATAAACAATCAGAGCTATACCAATCTTTAAAAGATTTCAGCAAAACAAACAAACTTAAAATAAAATAGGGCCAATCAAACAACACAACACAACAAACAAACGGAAAAGTGTATAACAACCTGAGCAGTATACAGTTCTCCAACATCCCCCTCTTGCGACTCTCATAGAGAAGCCGTCGTCTCTTGATGTCAATGGGTTCATCTGTTTTCTCCTCCCAGGGTGGCAGAGGGATCTCTAGTAGGTCAGCTTTGTTGTCATCAGGAGCCTCTCCTTTGTAACCTCGAGATGATACTGTCCCTGTGAAGGCTGGTCTCCAAACTGCCTGGCACATTCCCGTTATCAACTGACATACAGCAAAAGCAATTTAGTTATGTCCATAACTTCAACATTTCATGAATACGATATGTTGCTGATTCAAAGGTTTCTGCTT